CGTTTGCCGAGATAGAATCTTTTTACTATTATCAGTTCTGATTATCAGTATTAAATGATTTATATAATAATATGTTAAAATTTTAATCGCTTATCTCTTTAATTTATTTTTTTTCATTAATGGAATGTTTATTTTTCTCAAGTAAGTTAAATTCTCTGAAAAATGTTAATAAAATATTAAAAAATTGAATATACATAACGAATTAAATATACATTAAATATACGAAAAATATTCTTTCAAATAAATAATTTTGTAAAAAATTATTATTTCTATGTGTTTTTATGCTCAAAGAAACATGTAAATATGTGAAAAAAGATATAATTTATCAAAAAATTTTAAGTTTTCTTTGTCTTCTTTTTTGTTGCGTTTTAATCAAGTTCTCAAGTACACTGAACCTCACAAGGTCAACGAGTCCATTACTTGGACTAACGTATACATATGTATCCTTTCGAACAATGTTAATTTATTCATTTGCAAGAATTAATTTGCTCCAAACAATTATATTTCTTAAGTATAATCAATAACACATCTTTCATGCATCGATTATTTCTTTTTTACATTTATCATAATTAATGTTTGTTGCGTTACAAGCAATAATTTTGTATAGTAATGATAATAATAAAGTAGAAGAAATATAAGAGAGAAAAAAATATTTTAAAGTAAATGTTAAAAGTTAAATATTATTGAGAATGAAACAATTTAAATAATAATCTAGAATTAATCATAATGTCGAAGAAGTTTGTTTTTTAATAATTCATTAAAAAATTTATGCAAATAATAGTAATCAATGCAGAAATTTATTTAAATTGATGCAAAATATACGTGTATCTTGGAAGAAAAGTGATTTTATTGAACTTTATACTTAATATATTTGAACTGCTTATTTTGTATAATATAATTTATCTTATCTTTGTCTATCTTTGTTTTTTATCTTTTTACTTAGCAATTTTGCTGCAATATACATAAATATATAGATATAAAGACAGACTATACGTGAAAGATATATTTCATGAATAATAAAACAACTAATTAATTATACACTTCATGATAAAATAAATTATTGATATATGTTAAATTAACGTTTACACGAAAAAAGATTAATCTATGAATATCGTAAATGTGCCAATTATATGATACTATTTATAACTGAAAATCACAAGTAAAACTAATAAAGATAATACCTTATTTTGAAAATTTTGAAAATATCATATGTATGTATTAGACTTTTATAGATATTTTACAAAATATAAAAAATTAAAATAAATATAGCAAATAATATAATAAATAATTTTTAATTACATGTTAATATAAACATGTTAATATAAATTTCATATTTTACAAAAGAAATATATATTCTTAATTTATATATTTTATATAATTTTTACTTCTCCCTCTTTCTCTCTCTCTTTTTGTTTTTTTCTCTTCTAAAATAGACAAAAAATTGTTTATAACATTATAATTATCAAATGAATTAAACATAACATGTCATCAACGTATTAGTATTAATATTAGTATAAATATTAAATTGATATTTAATATTTATTTGTTGAAATGGTAAAAAAATCAGTATATAAAAATAAATAGCAATCGATAGATTGTATGAAAAAGATTATAAACTAATGCGAAATAATTAAAATACACATATGATAGAAATATTAATAACGACACGAAAAAAAGATTGATTTGATGCATGATTAAAAAATATCTATGTAACATTTGTTTAAAAGAACTGAGTCGAGTATTTACAAGTTTTCAAAATGATGCATGTGTGTGTGTGATTGTTATTGAAAATAAAATATTTTAATTATATAAATTTATGTGAAAAAGGAATGATCTCTACCTTTTTTTCTACACCTTTTTGTTTTTCGATTGACATTATTTTTGCGAATTTGATTCATATTAATGAATAAGAGAGTCACTTACTGCGTAATAAAGATTCCATCGATGTCTTTATGATTCTCTTATGATTCCTGTCAATATATTCCTTGCTATTGAGAATCTTGGTGAATTTGGAAAACTACAAATCGGAAATTTTCATACAATTGGACAGACACCAGGACAGAAACGTCTAGATAACCACTTAACAACATAAATTAAGCAAATCCCTAAAAACTGTCAATTATGATTAAAATATGTGATTAAAATTCCACAGTAAAAACGCCTCTTGTTGACTGCCTCTTGTTAACTGACTCAAATCCGAAGTACAAACTGATTGATGTGCTTATATTAAGTCTGGCGGAGCGTGCAATGTGATTCGAACGACGATAGCAAAGTGGCGGCTGAACACTTCACATTAGATCCGCCTTAGCAACCTGTTTCTACCGATACATACAAAATACCCCTTTCTTCTTGATTTTGTTTTTAACCTTCAAATATCTGTAATGATAAATCTCGTAAAACCTGTTTTAACATTATTCTGTTCTGTTGATGCATTTTATGGACAATGTATATTTTTGTTGTCCTTGAATTAAAATTAAGATTATGATATGTATATCTAATCCGTTGTAAAGTTCAGAAGCTATCAAAATATTTACTGTTTACAGCGCGATATTTCGCAAACCGCACACAATTATATGCAAAAGAAAAATAAAAAATAAAAAGCAGAAGTAAAACTAAAAAAGAAACCCAATAATTAGATATAAATTGTTATTCTACGAGATATAATAATCGAAACTATCACATATGTTATTTTGTTTGTAACATTTCATTACATATTGTGCACATCTATATCGACATTTTGATTTTTTGTCTCTTGAAAATATCTAACTCTCTCTCTCTCTCTCTTTCTCTCTTCTCTTTGTATTGCTGTTGTTAAAAGTTGCTTTTGCTAATTCGAATGATAAAGATATATCTTTGGGACATAAGAATGAAGAAAACGTCATAATCTTCATAACTAAATATCAAAGTATTTCTATAAAATTTTTGTAAAATTATTGAGAGAAAAAAAGAGAGAGAAGTCACGTATAAATGTATAATGTTTTATGATCACGTCACGTATGAATGTATAATGTTTTATTATTATTGTAAATTTTTCTGAAAGGCATTTTTTAAGAGAAGATAAAAAATTTAATCTTTTATATATTTTGTATACTAAACTGATATTTAGCAATTTAAAGTCTCAATATGCGAATTTTATACGCAAAGATAGATATTAACAAATGAGCACATTTAAATATATAAATATTTAAGAAAAATCATTTATTTTCATTTACTTTGAGTACGTTTACACGACAACGTTAATCTGGTTTAGTAACAATCGTAGTTATAACTCTCTAAAAGTGATGTTCGTTTACACGCAAGGAGCAATATAAGCAATTACATAGCAATTACATATTTACTTTAACTTATTGGCAGTTTTTATATACTAGTACTTGTCACTTTATTATTCAGGTTGGCAATACGATTGTTATAACTCTCGTAGCGTTTACACGTCTTCTTAAAGCTGGATTTGTAAGTCTACTCCTTTTCCTTAGCAGGAGTAGCGTTATTACAACTGGTGTAATAACGTCGGCGTAAAGCACGGTTTACACGGCATATAACACCAGTAATTACAACAGCGGTTGTTACTAAACCTGATTAACGTTGCCGTGTAAACATACTCATTGACTGATTTTGCTCGATTTGTCTTCTATACCGTAAAAATTATAAGTAGATATAAGATTTAGTATACTTTAACTGCAACTTCTTTCCTTTTGATTCTTGTGTAATAATATGCAAGTGTTATGCCGATAAATGCTTTTTGTAATTTTTAGATCATTAAGTGTACATATACAGAATGTATCAAAAGGTAAGATCAATCAGTGAAAGAAAATGTATATATGTGTGTGTGTGTGTGTGTGTGTGTGTACATTAATTGAAAAAATATATATATTGTCTATCGAATTTGATTATTATCTTACGCAAAGTATAAACATTTATTAGCATTATAATTTCCGTAATTTGAGACATTGTATTATATTATAATACAAATTCTGTAGAATAAAATTCCAGTATGGAAACATTGATATATTTTTATGAAATATCTTTATTATTATTTATAGAGCTATTAAGCGAGATTATAAAACTTCGATTTGCGCGCTTAATGTACAACCTTGAAAAAAGTCGCAAAAAGTATGTATAATAGCGTCTTATTTTCTAAATTATACGAACATTATTTCATAATGAGCATCGTTTTTATCGTAATAAATCTGATGTAAACAGGAAAAAACGTCAAGAATATGTAAAATACTTTTTTTTAGGAAACAAAGACATTTATAAATCATATTAAATGTCTCTAATGTGTGTATATTCATCGAAATAAAATAAATTTATATGAATTATAAAATAAATTTAGATGAAATAAAAAATGTATATTATTATTATTATTATTATGCTATATGAATGTAAAAAAAAGTAAAACAAAAATGGACGGTTAAAATAAATTTCTGTCATATATATATATATATATATATATATATATATATATATATATATATATATATCATACTATTGATTTAATATGAAATTTTCTGCGAAATATCGAATCATAACAAGTTTTAATACAATAAAAAATAAAGAAATAATAATAATAATGAAATGATCGATGTTAATATCGATTATTTTTCGTTGTATTTACAAGCTCACGTCGAAAATTATAATACAAGCGAATCGAAGATCTGGCGAGGAGATTATATTCGAGCATTGTATAATTAACAATTACATTTTTATATATACGAAAAGATAAAATATAATTAGAACATACATAAAGGATTTTCTTACCTCGCATATAATCTCCAACGAATATTTTTCTGATGATCCTTTTGATTTTTTAATTTATCGAATTCTGCAAGAACTATAGATCATCATTTCGTCTATATAGATCCGTGATACATATTTCATAACATAAGTTCTTTTGGATTCGATTTTTGTGTCCTATTTTAATGCAGCGATAGCTAAAGCACAATTTGAAATTTAAGTAACGTTTAAATTTGAATGGGGGAAGACAATGTCCTCTATGTGTACTACACTGTTGTTTGTTTTGTTTCCGCGTAGGATCAATCTGATATTGTCCTTAGAATTTAAGACGTTCATAGAGATTACAGCGAAATTCTGTGCCTTAGAAGTCTGTGAAATTATTCAGGTGAATTATTTTATATTTTTCTAATCTATTATAATAAAAAATCTAGCATCTCGAGAAACTAGATAATGACGATCTATATCGATTTATACTCGCGAAATTTTCCAGATACACGTGACAAATTCTTTTTCATCCTACTATAGTATATAAATTTTTAGTAGTTTTATTATGTGTCAAATATTAATATATTCTATATCTATATAGGATATCAATGCAATTCTGCAAATAATTGCTTCATATAATCCAATAATCTCAAGTTATGTCATATAAAAGATAGACTTATGTGACTATCTTTCAAATTATGTAACTTTAAATAATATATAATTCTACCTATCTATCTTTGTGTTTCAGTGCTTTTAGATTTCACCCATAAACATGGAATCAGAATATGTAATAGAAGGCAATGCAAGGATCATCGCAAAAAATATGCCAAATTCTAGTGCGTCAAAATGTATTTGTTATAGACCGCATTCCAACATTATATGCAATGGCTGTGGATTTTGGACAAAAGGCAGAGTAAGATATTGTTGTCCTGAACATCCAAAGGTCAGAATAATATTGCTTTAACATTTCTCTTTTTTCTTTTCGTTGAATTCTCTTGAAAGTAAATTTTTATTCTCTGAAAGTAATTTTTTCAATTTACTGAAGATAACAACATTTAAAAAATAGTATTTTTAATATTTTAATTATTAATAGTAATTTTTTGTATTTTATTTTACAGATTGTTTTTCTATATGATTATGCTCAATGTCCACGCTGTAAAAGTTACGATTTCATGCTCACAGAGATCTAAACAAACATTCCATTTCTATCAGGCTAATTAGAGTTATAGGTTTGTTAAAGATAAATATATATAGATAAGTTTCAATAGTTACCAAAAACTATTCACTTTAAGTAAGTTTACAAAGTTTAATAATATAGTAGTTAATATAGCACATAGGTATAGTACTCAGTTAATATAGATAATATAACATCTAAATATAGTACTCAATACAGTAATTAATATAGATATATGAAAAATAGATATATTAAAATACTGTGATGATAGGTTTATTTCAACTTTCAGACCAAAGTATATTTTTATATATCTGTAATAGAGAGATAGTACTGAGAGTTACAATATATATATTGACGTATCTGCTTAGAGTAACTGTCAAAATGTTTAATGTATAAACACTAATAGTAGTGTTCATATTTTTCATAGTAATTAAGAAAATATATTGTGTGATATGATTATAATATAATATTACTACTAATATATAATGCTTAATAATTTGTATTATTATTATTTAAAAAAACTGATACATATTACTTTATATATTACAAATATTACAAGTATTTTTAAATATACTATAAATTTTGACATTTAAACATTTTGACAGTAGACTCGAATAAGAGCAAATGTATTGTGATAAGAATGATTGATAGCTTATTCTTAAAGAGCCTAGTTTTCTTTTTAAAGCTTTAATATTTGATCTATATCAAAAAAGCTCAAGACTGACAAGCGTGAAGTAATGTAACTAACAAGTATATAATATAAGAGCAGTTTGAAACAAAAATAAAAGTATAACTTCATACATGATTGTATGCCATTTATGTATTAAATAAAATATTAATTATATTTAAAAATAAAAGGTTTTTCTTGTTCAAATTATATCCTTAAAGAAAAATTTTTTCATAAAATGCACAGTCTTTATATATTATTTGTTATATGCATGTAAGTGAAAAATTAATTATAAACTTTATAATATAATTATATAATTATAGTATATATAATTATAGTATTGCATTATTTTTCTTAGTTTATTTTTTGATTATTTATATATGTATCATTGATATTGTACTTATGGCTGGATATATTTCGAAAATATTTTTTGGACTTTGAAAATTTATATAAATACATAAATTTCGTACATAAACGAAAATATAAGATGTTTTATAAATAAAGATTTACTATACTTTCTTTAACCTCTATCATAAATCCCGCCAAATATGTCAACTCATATGTTGAGCATTTCATTGGTCAACTTGTACAACCTTTTTACGTCATGTGCCAATCAATGAAGCCTCGTGGACCATTCATTGTAAATAGTAACCGTCATTTCTGAATGCGCAGTTAAAAAGTGAATGAAACTTCATAAATACATAACCAAAAACTTAAAAAGAGCAGAATTCTTTGAAGTTCCGGTAATATTTAATTTTTCTAGAAATAAGTTATATTTTATCATTATATTTTCCATTTAACTCTCTTAAATCTTTAAAATATTAATAATATTACAATATAAATTGACACATCGTATCATGTGATATTTATATAAAAATGTTTTTATAAGAATATTTTACACAATAGTTCTTTATATTTAAATTTTTTGTAGATATATATCTATATATATATTGTAATATTTATAAATATTTTCCATTTTTGTAAATATTTATCAAGCACTTTATTTGAATAACTGGAAAATAATAGGAAATTAAATTGTATGATAGCAAAAATGGCATTCAATATACAAGATTCCAATATGGATAATGAAGAAGATTTACAAGCAAGTCAATGGTATGGAGTAAGAGAAGCTACATTGTTTCTTGTCGATGCCACACACAGAATGTTTGAAGTAGAAAAGAACCAAACTCAGCCAGAAACCGAACGCAGCTACATTCAAAAATTTTTCAAGGTTTGATACACTACAAGTTATTTTTATTAATGACTCGTATTTAAAAAAATAATTATCATTAATCATAATTCTTGCAGCTATATAAGCAGATTCTTCGACAGAAACTTGCATGGAGTATGCAAGATTGGATGGGTGTAGTATTATTTGGTACTGAAGAAAGCGATGCAAATTCAAGCTGGAAACACATTCAAAATTTGCAAGAATTACGAGTTGTTACCTTGGATGACTTACAACGAATCAGAAAATTAAGTAAGGATATTTACAGCCAAGCAGTATATGTAATGTGTTTTAATAATATCACCTATACAATTTTTATCTAATAATTTTATGAATTTCCAATAATTCTCATAGCTAAAAGTGGCATGAAGGGCTATCAGAGTATTAAATCTGAGGATGCTTATCCACTTCACGACGCATTGACATACGCAATCGATATTTTTTTGAAGATAAAAACAGTTCTTACTAAACGCAGGATAGTTCTGATCACTTCTCATGTTGCCAAACTAGCGGATGACGAAAAGCATCGCATCAGATCAACGGCAGCATCTTTGAAGGACTTGGATATTAAATTATATGTAATTGGTTTGGGGAAGAATTGGATACAGGATCAATTCTACAAAGATTTAGAAATTCTATCGAGAAAAACGGATGTAGATGTTTATAGAATGACATCATTGGTAGATTTAGTGCAACAGATTAAAGCACCTTCCAAAAACATTGCACGTTTATGCCTCAAGATAAGCGACGATTTGGAACTTGATTTGGTTGTCCGTACTCTGGGCAGGTAAAGCTTCATATTAATAAGAATAATATAATTTTTATAACACACATCATTATATAATTCTATAGATAACACTGTGAACATTATTTTACAGGAAACGTAGATGCTTACGAACAAAGCCACTAAGTAAAGCTACTAATCAAGTTTTATCGAGATCGACATATTTTAAGGGTGAAGATTCCAATGATGAGGTAATACTTCATGCATAATATGTATCTTAAACATTTTGCTGATTATATATATTGAATATATACCTTGCATTTTTTAATTCTTATTATTATTTTAAGTTATTTAATTAGCTGGATTAATTACAGGAGAATAGTGACAATGAAGAATCTAATTTACCTTTTATGATACCAGAAGAAGTGAACTGGGAAACTAAGGAGTTAATTGGAAATAGAAAATTACGTTTTACACCAAAAGAACGTTCTCGTATGAAGCATATACATCCACCAGCCATCAAGATAATCGGCACAAGACCTATACCCGACGATCTCTTTAGATATCACGTTAAACGGAAATATTTCATCAGAGCGGATTACAGTAGCAGTCGTAAAGGTAAAGCACATAAAATATATGAAGATTTTATGTTTCTTTATACACAATTTTATGTTTTTTTATACACAATAATACATTCAATTTTTATATTGCAACGTTTATTTTATAAAATTCAATTCTTTTGTTTCTTTTTTCCAGATAATCTATTGTTCTTCGGCGCTTTATTGAATAAATGCGCCACTAAAGGAAAAATGATTGTTTGTATGTTCACATTGCGGATGAATACTCAAACTAATCTCTGCTATATGATTCCAAATGCTGATTTAGGCGGCTTTTTCTTATCAAAAATTGCATATAAAGGTATATTTTATTATATTATGTAATAATACACTATGGCTTAAGATGTTTCATATTAATGAATATAATTCACACTCTAGGAGACATTGGAGATAAAAGTGAAGCATTGCATCATTATGATGCACAAAATTGGGTAACTGATGAAGAAGTGATATTATGGAAAAAGACAATTGACAAGCTCAATATGGATTACCATCCCTGCAAATTTAGATCTTACAAATTGGAATGTCAAATACAAATAGTAGAAAAGTTAGCTCTAGATAAGGAACCTGGTCCTCCGCCAATTGATTCAATCGAACAGTCATGTAAGTAATATTAATATTATAATATATATATTAACAAATTGAAAAAATGTATAAAAAAAGGAAAAAAATACAAATCAAGAGAAAATCACTATTCCTAGATACAAAAACAAATTTATATCAAATTATATAAGTTTGTTTATAAATTATTTATAAAGTAACTATAATATACTTTGCAGTTGAGGCAACTCGTAAGAAAACAGCAGATTTAATGTCCGAATTTAAGGATATGTATCCTAATATAAACAAATCTGATGGTCCACCAAAAGCAAAAAGAGCTAAAAAGAGTAAGAAGGAAACATCATAATTATTGTACATAATTATGTGGAATAGCATTCTATAATGAAAGTAACATGATAATATATTTTAAAGAGAATTTACATTTCTACAAAACAAATGATTATATATATATATATATATATATATATATATATATATATATATATATATATATATGGCAAAGAAAAGCTTTTTAAAATAAATGTTGTTTGGTAAATATACAAAAGAAGAAAATATTGTTATTTTTAAGATATAGCTTATATTTTATTTGACAAAATATTGTGGCAAAAGTTGTCTACAAAAATTATATAAGTTAAATTCCTGTTTCTTTTAATAAAGTAGTTGGGAACAAGGAGACACATTGATATTACATTGATATTACATTATTTTATTGTTGTCAGTCTTAGACTTTATGTAGGCACTTAATAAAGGCATTTTAGACATTAATCTGTGATTGATGCAATGTATACTGTAAAAATATGTTGAGCACAGATTAAAAACTAGTATTATTATAATCTTTTAATAAAAATTTTGCATGTTTTTTCTATTATTTGAAACTATTGTCAAATTGCTTTACTAAATTATTTTTATCTTATAATAATACTAGTTTGCTAATTCTTGGTATCCTTGGTAAATTATTTAATAATTATTTTGATAATTTAAATATACATATGAATTTATATAACAATATTTTCTTTTACATATATAAAAATATATTATTTTATTCAAATCTATTATGAAGAAAAAGGCATGTGTAAATTCCTCTATATATAATATAAAATATAATATGAAAAATTTTATATAATTTGAAAATTTTATGTAAAATGTATCCTCTTAATCAACTATTAAGGCCAAAAATTGATTTCACGCTTCTCTAACAATTTTAGACATATAGAATAATTTAAAAATTGCTTAAACCTTATACAATCATGAATATATTTACCGTTACATTAAACCAAGCAATTAGAGGGAGACAAATGTGATTCTCTCACTCATGTTCTCGTTTCAAGCACGCAGGTTTAAAGTAGGATACAGGTGCTTTTCTCACGAAAGGGATTAGACTTTTGCGATGAAAAGCCCAGCAGCAAGCAATCCTCTTGCTCATGCTCTGTGATGTACTTCATAATGTCTTCGACAGCCTTGCTCACCGTGATCCGTTTCAGAGCGGCTTCGCGGCGCAGCTGCTCCGTCACAAGACGCTGCTGTTGCAAATTCGTGATCACCATGTCCATAACAGCTGTGTATGTGCAACAGAAATGAGAGAATCTCTGTGCAAATTTCGTGACAACAGAAAACAAAAGGGGAGAAAAATACACCACAAATTTAAAGGCTACCTGGACGTCCGATGCTGAAACCTTACTTTCGCAGATCGCAAATCTAGGCCTCAACAATTCGATCCTCTTCTTTGTCACGAAAAGCCACTCGTTGACTTTTTTTCTGTCCACGTTCTTTGCTTCAGCCACAATTTTATGAAGATTTAATCTTAAATCTTTCCTGTATGCCAATCCCTCAAGGCAATCTCGCACTTGACGATTACGTCGCATTACATGACGCGATGATTGGCTGACTAATGCATCTTTGTAAAATTCTGCTCCTTTTGTCATGGGCTGCGGTCAAGGAGACCCTGAAAATGCTTTGAAGTGTTTGATTGACCAATCAAGATAAGATATCTTTACTCCTTTTATCCTGATTGATTAATCAAACGCTCCAAAGCATCTTCAGCGTTTGATTGACCAATCATTAAAGATATTTCTACTCCTTTTATCCTGATTGGTCAATCAAACGCTCTAAAGCATCTTCAGCGTCTCATTGATCGCAACCCTGATTAGTCAATTGAAAGCTGTCTTACTTCACGAGTAGGATTTTCGAACGCATCCGAATGGATTCGTTTGAAGTAGCGTCATGCAAGCTAGCCTTAAGAAATTTTGCCGGTGTAAAAATCCCCTAGCTGGAGAACATCGAGAAAAATCGTGGCTGTTTCGCTCCGGACCCGGACCGTGTTATCGTTGTGAAGAGACGACTCAATTTTTAACGTTTCGAAAATGGCTATGCACATACCGAAAGCGCCTGGCATAGCGCAGATGCTCAAGGAGGGGACCCGCGTAAGTGCCATTTTATCACAATATTCGCATGCACGCAACGAATTGTCGCACGAATGATGATGCCTGTTCTCGGAAAGGATATACGAGAAAGGGATCGTATATTCTTGCCTTTTATGGACATTTTGATATATCCTCTCATTTTTGACTCGAGATTTAGAGTTTTGTGCACAAAATGCAATCAATCTTAAATTATGCCGGAAATATATCACATTTTTTTTCTTAAATCAGATTTGATCATTTTATAATAAAAAGATAATAAAAAATTAATAATAATAATAAATTAATAATAAAAATTATCTGATAATTAATCGTTTAACGCTTCAATGAGTTTGTTATTTTGTACTTTCAGTGCTTTTCGGGCCTGGATGAAGCAGTCTACAGAAATATTACAGCCTGTAAACAATTTGCAGATACTGTAAGAAGCGCATACGGTCCTAATGGGATGAATAAGATGATCATTAATCATATTGAAAAACTGTTTGTAACTAATGATGCAGCGACGATTATCAATGAGTTAGAAGTGGAGCATCCAGCTGCAAAGTTGTTGGTTTTTGCATCAAAAATGCAGGAAGCTGAAGTAGGAGATGGAACAAACTTTGTTATTATCTTTGCTGGAGCTTTGCTTCATGCTGCGGAAGAATTGCTTCGTTTAGTAAGTTAATTTTATTTAATGTTTTTTTATACTTTCATATCACTACAAATATATATATATATATATATATATATATATATATATATATATATATGTGTGTGTGTAAAATATTTTATATATATATTATATAAAATATATTAATAAAATATAAGTCTTATATAAAGTATTATATAAAGTTTATTTGTATTCTTATACTTGGGAATATGCTCTAACCATAAATCCAACTATAAATCCGTTAATTTTATCCATTAATCCGTTAATTTTATCTTGTATAAGAAAAATTTATAATTAATACAAGTAATTTTTATATTCTGTTTTTCTAATTGTAGGGAATAACAACTTCAGAGATTGTTGAAGGTTATGAAAGTGCCTTGAACAAAGCACTCGAAATTTTGCCAACATTAGTTGTTCACGAAGTAAAGGATGTACATTCCGAAGACCAAGTGAGGAAGGGGATCAGGACTGCTATTATGAGCAAACAATATGGAAATGAGGATATTCTCGCTTCTCTTGTTACTCAAGCTTGCGTTTCGATTTTACCAGAGAAAACAACATTCAATGTCGATAATGTACGGGTTTGCAAAATACTCGGAGGTGGTTTGAACAATTCCCAAGTTATCCAAGGCATGGTGTTTAAGCGTCATGTAGAAGGAGAAGTCGCAAGAAAAACCAATGCAAAGATCGCGGTTTATACTTGTGCCGTGGACATCACACAGACTGAGACTAAGGGTACTGTGCTGATAAAGACAGCCGATGAGCTTTTGAAATTCTCGCGCGGCGAGGAATCATTTCTGGAAAATCAAATCAAATCAATTGCTGATAGCGGCGCCGAGGTAGTAGTGTCAGGCGGAAAATTTGGAAGCATGGTCTTACACTATATGAACAAATACAATCTGATGGCTGTTCGTATCCCGAGCAAGTTTGATATCAGACGACTTTGCAAAACTGTCGGTGCCACCGCGCTTTCGAAGCTGGTACATTTATTTGATTTAATCATATCTTCTTTAAATAGATATATTGCTTTTTCGCATGCAATAAATTTGTATTTAAAATATAATGGAAAAAAACTATAATTTTCTTTTAAAGATACCTCCATCAAAAGAAGAGTTGGGATATGCCGATACGGTACACATAGACGAATTGGGAGACACTATAGTGGTAGTGTTCAAACTGGATGGAAAGGAAAGTCGCGTCAGTACTGTGCTCGTGCGTGGTTCCACCGAGAATTACATGGACGATATCGAACGCGCGATCGATGACGGTGTCAATACCTTCAAGGGCATCACGAAAGACGGTAGATTTGTCCCGGGGGCGGGTGCCACGGAACTCGAGCTTGCCGCGCAGTTGGCGTTATACGCGGACACGTTACCCGGCCTAGAACAGTACGCAGCGCGCAAATTTGCCACTGCCTTGGAGATATTCTCTAAGACGCTGGCTGAGAGCAGCGGTGTTCATGCTTCTGAGCTTCTGTCAAAGTTATATGCAGCCCACAAGGAGGGAAAGAAGAATTACGGTTTCGATATCGATGTAAGTTCTTATTTTTTCTATTCGATAATCATCTTCAGATAATATATTTGTTTCAAATATGCGGCTGTTATTTCTCGTTTGATTTAACATTTATGGATGATTATTTGAACTGGATATATAATATTCTTTTTTTCAAATAACATATATGTAAATTGTATATCGTTAGGGTGAAGGTGCAGCTTTGATCGATACCGTCGAGGCAGGAATCCTGGATCTATATTTGACAAAGCAATGGGCGATGAAATATGCGGTCGGTGCAGCGTGCACAGTTCTCAAAGTAGATCAAATTATTATGGCAAAGCGGGCAGGCGGCCCAAAGGTTCCATCGGGAGGCGGTCGTGATGAAGATGATTAATAAAACAAATCATAAAATTTTACGTTTAATTTATAACATTATTTGTATTTACAAGTTTCAATATATTTGAAATTCGATGAAAGAGTAGAATGATGAATACTCTTTTGATACTTAATTGTAAAGAAGATTATATATTTCCTATCACCGATCCGGGAATGGAAATTTCTAAATTTTCCATTCAATATATCTGCTGACTTCTATAAGAATATTAAAAATAAACTTATTAGATATATACCCTTTCTCCTTCTTTATTTATCTCTATTAAAATCCTAATAAAATGGAGTATAGAGTAGGTTTTTTATTTACTTTCTCTACTAAAATCTTAATAAATCTTAATAAAATAGAGTAAAATAATAGAAATAAAAACAAAGAAACAAAAAATTACAACTATATCATATATTGACCGCGTTCAATCAAACTACTCAATTATCTTGTCAAAATCTGACATTGACTCTAAAAGTAAGAGCTAATTACAAGTTACATTCAATTATTAGTAAATGATTTGTTCTGCTAAACGCGTCCATTAGCTCAGGTACCTCGGGTTCGCCAAACCCGTATCAGAAAGAGGACTTTAGATTCGAAAGCGCAAATATCGTTTGGGTACTTGGCTTCCCCTTCAGGATAAACCTTCCAGGTACTGAGTCCTCCCACCTACGTCAAGGTGTACCCATTGGGAGGGGAGAGAGGCCTGACTATGAAGGTGCAATTTCATTGACGCTAGAAACCAGCGGCAAATTAAAATCACTATACTTTCTCTAGTATGGCGTCAATAAAATAAAGTTCAAACAGTTTCAACTTTTTCAGTGTGTAAAGCGGCCTTTTCATTGACGCTACTTTTTAGCGTCAATGAAATTGCACCTTAACAGTTGGCAGCCCTACGAGATAGGCTGTGCAGCACTGCGCGTATATAAAATAAATTTGAAATCGCTTCTAGTCTAACCATCTTCACGCGATCGACTTTATTTGAATTGCACGGCATCGCATCGAATTATGATGCGGCGCCGATTTGTTCGAACGTAATTCGGGACATCGCGATGCTGTATAAGCGTCGAATGAGCACGAATTGTCACGCAAATATGATAAATCACATCTACTCACCGTTCGCCGGCTGTTCCACAGGCCGCTCCACTCGCTCGCCTCGGGACGTCCCATTCCGATCTTGATGCACACGATATCATCAACGCGAACGCGCGACACTTTATTCGGCACTTCCGATATTCGCTCGCATCCGATAATCATCATCAAGGGCGCAAATAACGCGACGCGACTTCGCTCCATCTTCGCGATCGCGCTATCACTGAACTGTGAAAAATAGCTGTCGCGCACTTTCACCGACATATTATGAAAGTCGCGCGATCATCCTTGGACACTTTCGACGCTCTTTCACTCGCGATATTCGTTTAAAAACGGTTAAAAGACGCGAAAAATGCGGACGTACGACGATCCGTGTAACTGCGTATAACTCCGATTCACGTATGACGCGTATGACGTAGCAATCACGCGCTAACATGGCGGCCGAACCAGTGCGCATTCATTTCTGCGCACTGGTTCGGCCGCCATGTTAGCGCGTGTTGCTACGTCATACGCGTCACTGCTACGTCATACGCGTCATACGTGAATCGGAATCATACGCAGTTACACGGATCGTCGTACGTCCGCATTTTTCGCGTCTTTTAACCGTTTTTAAACGAATGTCGCGAGTGAAGTGTCCAAGGATGATCGCGTGACTTTCATAATATGTCGGTGAAAGTGCGCGACAGCTATTTTTCACAGTTCAGTGATAGCGCGATCGCGAAGATGGAGCGAAGTCGCGTCGCGTTATTTGCGCCCTTGATGATGATTATCGGATGCGAGCGAATATCGGGAGTGCCGAATAAAGTGTCGCGCGTTCGCGTTGATGATATCGTGTGAGTTTGTGTGCATCAAGATCGGAATGGGACGTCCCGAGGCGAGCGAGTGGAGCGGCCTGTGGAACAGCCGGTGAATGGTGAGTAGATTTGATTTATCATATTTGCGTGACAATTCGTGCTCATTCGACGCTTATACAGCATCGCGATGTCCCGAATTACGTTCGAACAAATCGGCGCCGCATCATAATTTGATGCGATGCCGTGCAATTCAAATAAAGTCGATCGCGTGAAGATGGTTAGGCTAGAAGCGATTTCAAATTTATTTTATATACGCGCAGTGCTGCACAGCCTATCTCGTAGGGCTGCCAATTAAGGTGCAATTTCATTGACGCTAAAAAGTAGCATCAATGAAAAGGCCGCTTTACACACTGAAAAAGTTGAAACTGTTTGAACTTTATTTTATTGACGCCATATCTAGAGAAAGTCTAGTGATTTTAATTTGCCGCTGGTTTCTAGCGTCAATGAAATTGCACCTTGAATGAGAGATGTCATGGCTCATGGCTTTCAGGTGATCCTCTAAAGTCAGTAGATATAGTGACTTTAAGGAATCACTAGAGATAGCGTGTTTTATATGGTACTTTTGCCGCTTTCTACCGCCTACCGCATTCCGTTTATTATAGATCCATTCGTTATTTATTAAAGAAAAGTAATTTATAGTGCAATTGTTATAATGTTTCGTAAAGTATGTATAACCACGTGCGAATAAGATGTAAAATCATTTCTAATCAAAGCATAAATTTCAATTTTACGTGTGGTATGTTTTTAGGTTACTTTAGGAATGCGCAGTCAAATTGGTCGATTAAACAATATGCGATACTCGTCGCAAAATTTTTATCAAGAAGTAAATGATACGACGAAAGTAGAAAAGAGTAAGTATATAATTGCGTCAGAGATTTATTCGATAGATATTTAAGTGTAGTTTGTATATTCTATTTTAAATCATCTCTAACAGAATAAAGTTTATTAACAAGCGTGATTTTTTCTTCTCCTTTTACAAATAAAATATAGAAATTTGTATCCAATAACACTATTTCTAAGTGCAATTTTTTTATTTTACTTGTAGGTATAAATAATGTAACCTTACTTGGAAGGGTTGGAGCAGATCCACAGAAACGTGGAAGCTCGGAACATCCAGTTATAATATTCTCTCTTGCAACACATACAAATTATAAATATGAAACAGGTAACAATTTATATAACTCTAGAAATAAAGAATATTACGTATTAATAATTTATAATTATATTATTTATCTACTTTTTTTTAAGGTAATTATATGCAAAAAACAGAGTGGCATAAAGTATGTGTCTTTAAACCTAATTTAAGGGATGCTGTATATAGCTATTTAAAAAAGGGCCAGCGAGTAATGGTAAATGGTAGGATAAGTTATAGTGAATTTAAAGATGAAGAAGGAAATCCGCGTCCCAGTACAGCTATTATAGCAGATGATGTAATATTTTTCCAATAACAAGCCTTTGATATATCAATATATATTTTAATTTGTTAATAAAATTGATATAAAAATGTACATCTCCTGTCTTGTAATGTCTATATAATTATTTAATTTGATAACGAAAATGTGAGTTGTGCTTGTATAATTTTATAAATTTTGAACATCAAAAATTTTGAAATTAATCACTGTTGGTGCAATTCTCAAAAATTATGTTTATTAAAGCTACATTTATGAGAATTAACACAAAGAATTCAAAATATTAGCGTTCAAATAATAAATTTTAAATACATTATACATGTATATAATAATTTTAAATATATTTTCCATGAAAAGAGTTTATTTTTAGCAGGTTATATTTTGGATTTGAGAGAGAAAGTTATAAGAGAATAGTACACACATATTCTTAATAACTAAATAAGTCTATATTTACACATCCATTTCATATATATTCTTCGTATAACAACTTATATAATAAAACAGCCCTAATTTCTAGGATTTTACATGTTTTATTTTATACACGCGAAACGATATATAAACTTTTTCAACCTTAGATGCATCTTAGAGATGCATTGCTTTGAATATAGTATTATCTGTCTTCATAATATGCTGTTATATAACGTATATATATATATTTATTTATTCATTTATACATAAACTGCCATTTTTTTCTCTGACAATTTGTTCACATGAAAATTATTTACACGACTGTAAACAAAAGAGATGTATAGGTACTAATAATATATTAACATAAAATTTGTCATATTCAAGACTAGTAATAACTTAGACGTATTGCATTAAATTATTCATATATACATCACAATTGTTTGAAAAGAAATCAGTAAATTGTTTTGCAATAGTATTCACAAATATCTGTTTAATAATTCTAAATGCAAAATATATAGGAATAGTTAAAAGATAAATAAGTTATATTTTAAATTTGTAAATTATATACTTTAAGTAGTATAAATTATGTACCAAATATAAATCGAATAAAATACAAAATAATATACACAATATGAAATACACAATATGATTATATATATATAATTTTATATTGTGTGTGTGTATGTATATATTGCTTTCTTTATATTATTTTAACCTATTTGTATTTATATGATTTATATTATATAAATTTATAAGTTATATTATTTATCTTTTAACTACATATATAATTTTTTACAAACTGCATTTAAAGCTATTAGCAGATGTGTATGGACACAATTCCAAAATAATATTGCTGGTTTTTTTATATTAACAATTATGATGCACGAACAACTTAATATATGCGTTTTTTATATTAATAGTCAAATGTGATTAATTTCATATGTTAAAGTATTATTAGTGCCTACTATACACGTATATATCTTTCTCTTATCTCGATAACATCACGCAGCTCCTTCAGATAGACGCCTTGTTTAGATATGCACATCCGTTTCATCTAAATAATAATACCTATTTAACTTGCAATGCTTTTTTTGCGTTCTATAATATAGAGATCACAGAATACAAGAAGCCGAATATATTTCTTAATATGTCATTTAGTCATACGTTTAACGAAACTTACTTTTTCTCTCTCTCTCTCTCTTTCTCTTGCATTCATACTTCAATTCTCTCATACTTTCTCAGTTTTATATTCTCAAGTGCAAAAATACAATTAGTAATTTTCTTAAAATTTGTTTTTCTAATTGTATACGTCTCATTTTCTCACGATTTATTTCGCAGACAATCCTTGAATAAAGGGTCGTGGAATGTGAAGCCACAATCGCAACAAACATAGAAATTTCGAATATAAATTTTGATAGTAAAATATATATATGTATATATACTTTTTTTCTATAGATAAATTTATATACTCTAACTCTGGCCCCGAATTTCCATAAAATTCTTTCGCTATTCTTCTAATAATCCTCTTATATCTTTTATTCGCATTTACAATTCATTAGTTAAATTTATTAGTTCAGTTATGTACATCTACAATGCATAATCGATTATACAGCATTACAATGCGTTTATTTCATATAATGCATATATCGAGCGCGAGTGATACAATAGTTGGTTCCAAAATCGTGATATACCGAGTTTTTTTTGAACGATTGATTAAATATATATATATAACTAAATATCGTTCACTTATTAAACGGCAAATATTCTTGGCACAAATACGTCAAAGTAACGGAGAACCGTTTCAACGCACAAGAGCTTGAGGAAATCCAGTTAAATCTTCCTTCTGGGACTCGTTTTACAGAGTCGACATACATAAAAAATCTTATTGAATCTGCCATGGAAAGATTTTGTCAAGCTCTTTATAACTCTTTGAAAACTTCATGGAAACGTTTGTAACGTAATTTTTCTGTGATGAATTTACACGAATGTCTCAAATCAAATAGTCTCTCTCTCTCTTTGGGATCGACCTTATTCGCGGACTAAGTTTCACCAAAAATAAAGTCACATCACAGAACACAAGCTTAAAATTAAAAAAAGAAAAAGAGAGACGTTAAAGAAAGGAAAGACCTGGTAACAGTTCTCCCTCTGGCATTCTTTGTACATTGAATCATTGTTTGTATGTATGCTGTTAAGCACACCTAAATTCGTACACATCTTGTCGTTGTAAAAGCGGAAAGGAAATTGCCCGACAATTCGCATGGGTAGTTCCCAGTTACGAGGGAAGCGAAAAAGGAGGGTAGGGCGGAATATCCGCAAAGATTCAGCTTCAGATATCGAAGCGTCTATCATTATATCCGGCGCACAACGATTCAACGCGAATCCGTGTGAGGACGGAGAGCGAATTTCGTTATCCGATTTGCACCGTGAGAGGTGATATTGGCAAAACGTGCTTTCTTCTCGCGTTCCTTATCACATTCACACGACGTCACGACGAAAATGGAGAATATTCTTGTGTGATTGCAACTTTGAATTGTCGTCGACAGATAACGAAAAGTATAGCGAATCTAATTTCTTGAGCCCTCAAGGATCATCTTTGGAACGTCAATGTGCCTCTGTGAATTGGATAAACGAGAAAGTTCACTCGTCTATTCTGACGGATATTCTCAAGAAAGTCTTGTACATACGAACCGTCGTGTTTCGAGAGTCTTTTAACTTAATATCGCGATTACATTCGACAAAATTCCGAGTCATTCTCATACTTCTTTCCATCAACCACCACTAATTACCTCGATTAGACCTCATTATTATCTTGTTCTTCAGATTCAGAAGCCTTGTCGATGAGTTTCACTTTTCGGATTCCATCCATTCTCTGTTGTCTTGAAGACTTTTGCGTCTTCGTGCAGATATCTTCTTCTGATCAACAAATCGATGAATCGGACGGAGTGGATACTCACTCAATTTCCAATCTCACCCTGCAATCTGTCGATCGGTTATCGATATGGACGCCTCTGTTACGTGAAGTTCGTTTCATCGGTCCCAGTCTGTCGCGGCACGATTAACGATTACGCGCGATCATAGCTTTCCTGCCATCGCTAAGTCCCGCGTCACTTCCTCTCTTCCGGTTCCTGATTGGTCTTAACGAGATTATACGCGTGACTTCTGTACTTGGCAGGTGGATCGTGCAGTGGCAAGGGCTGTTGCTGCTCGCTCGATGGCGGATTCATACTGGACATCGAGAGATCCGTCGGCATATCCGCTTCCGGTTCCGTCTCGGGACTTCCGGAAAGAGTCCCTTCTTCTTCTGGTTCCGATTTTATTCGCATTTGATGGCGCAATGATGATATATTCTTGATGTTTTTCAATTCAACTGAGTTACGCAGAAATCTGCAAAAAATAAACACCATCGTAACTTTTTATCTGAAAACGAAACAATTTTGATATATTATAAACGTGAAATTTATTTGTATATAAAATTACTACTGTAATAGTAGCAGCTAGAATAAATTTTAATATTTTTACTTTGTTAAATCTCGATTCGAAATTAGTAAATCGTCATATCTATTACTAATGTGTCACTTTATCGCGATTATTTTATATACATGGTGTCTAATTATTTATTATAATAAATACTCACTGGTAACAATGTCGTTCGCCTTGAACTTTTCTAAGTATGTTCACACGATAATAATAACGTAAAGCTCTGCTCATCTTATCGTAATTCATAGAAAGATGATTTTTTTGGATACCCCAGAGCCGTGCCAGACCCGGCGGATCGACAATTTTGAAAACGCCGGTGTCCCGGCTCTTCCACGCGATGAAATTGTGGTATCGTTGCTGAGGGTCATTCAGTAACTGCTGAAGAAAGTCCCAGAGCAATCTTCCATCTAAACAAAACGGTGAAAATTGCTACAAATAAATATAATACTACTATAAATAAATATCGTAAAGCAACATGTCACTTTTTGAAAAATTTTATACTCATTAAAGTGTATATACACACAATATATCAATTAACACGCACACATATTCAAGTAGATAACTAAAAAAATTGTAAATGTGTCTACAAAATATTTTAAAGATTGACACATCTTTAGAAATTTCTATGACGTTTGTGCATTGTCCGAAAAGCAACGACTTACTAATACGATTAATATAAGCTAAACTAATAAACTAAGATAATAGACTAATAAAAAACGTCACGAATACTAACTGGTGTTAGGTTCTGACGAGTCGCTGGGGAAGAACTCTCTGGCCGCATTGGCACTAGTCGATCGGAAAGTACCGGGTGTCAACGGCATCAATTGCGATGATAATGTCGGACTCGGCTGATCCTTGACGCTCACCTCGCTAAGCCTCTGCGCCGTCAAGGCGGTCGGCGTGGGCGGCGGACTGCTATTACCGCTCGACACCTGGTGATTGTTGTCCTCGTCCGAATCACTCTTGTAGACCTGCGTCTGATTCGCGTCGGTCGCGTGACTGGGCGAGCCCGATTGACTGTCCACGGACGGCGCCGGTGACAGCGTCACCGAATTGGCCGACATCAGGGACGCGAGATTCTGGGCATATGCCGGCGTCTCCGTCCACGTGGGTGTGGGCGGATGCGAAAGCGGACTCAGCGGATACGCGGACGGCCTGGTCGGCGTCACCGGGCTGCTCGGCAGACACCTCTGTAACTGGCTGTAATCGCGCACCAGCATGCTGAGGACGTTGTGCAGGACGTCACCGGCGCTTGGACACCTCTCGCCCATATCGGCCTTCGTCAGCAAGCATAGCGCCTTGCCGTTCATCTGGAACACCTCCATGTCGAACGGCGGCAGATCGAATTCTTGCTCGGCCCATCGCAGAAACGCCGCCACATCTTCCCGCGACCATAGTCTAGGATCGGACACTGAAAAGAGAGAAGATATCATTAGTAAATTCATCTCGAAAGAGTCATAACAAAAATTCTATCTATGATCGAAAATCTCCTATCAAAATTAAATATTAATTTTATAAGCTTTCAAAGAGAACGTTGTTGATTGCGACAACACTTACCTAGACTCGTTGGTAGATGAGTCTTGAAATCTAGAAAGGGATTGGGCGGTGGGTGCGACGTGGGCGGAAAATTTAGCGGGAACCCATAACCCTGACAATGAGTTCGCCAGAACAGCTCCGTATTGAAAGGCAACGCTCTACCCGGTGGCAGCCGGGAATCCATTCCGGTCATTCCGCCTGCGGCGGAAGCTACCGGCGATAGCGGAATTGATGGCAACAATTTCATAACACGCCTTCACTGCCGGTGGCTTCTGCAACAGAAGAAACGATCGGATTTATTAATTAATAGGTTCTCGATTTGAGAAAATCGTGTGATTTAGGCAAACCTCAATAATCGCAATAAAGAATAAAAAATCGATTATATATAATTATAATATCGATCATATATATAATTATCGCGCTTTTATGAGCTAATTAGCTAAGTTATTTCGATATCATCTGTATATCATTTTTTATCAAAATTAATCATGACTTCATTAAATTCCACATGCTGCAACGTCATGCTTTACAACCGCTCATAAGTACGTAACGCAAGGAAGGAAAAGTACAGAATTATTTCGGCGCGAAAGTGATCTCTCGATATTTATCCACGATACCATGGACAAGATGCGACAGTGACGTAAAGTGCAATCTTCCGTACATGTCGAAAATTGATCTCTAACGTATAGCGTTCTGTATCTCGTCTAAGCCGGTGACGTAACGATCGCTCGCTTCCCCTCGATGTACAATGACGGAAGATAATAGCTCCAGATTACACGCTGGTTCCTTACGAGACGCGGACGCGAGCGAGGGAACGCGTGCAGAAGGGACCAGACTCGCCGGAAGAGAGGAGAGAAGCGTCGCGACGGCGACGAGGCGTCGGTTCGCAGACTATCATCGACTATTAGCATAGAATGTGAGGGCATAAGCATGAAAGCCGGCAGGAAACGCAGATTTACATAACGCATTTCCATCGACGTCGACGTAGCTATTTCCGTTCCCGACATCGGCTGGCGAAGATCCGACAGGCTGAGCGAAACTTCGCTCGACGACGCGAAACTCTTAAGCCCAAAGCGAGTTGCGCTGTTCATCTCGAAATCTGTTCGGTTAATTGCTTCCGAAAGTTTAGTCCGCCGTCGCTTATAACACCTCGGAATTACGAGCGTACCCGAATCTTAGTCGAGAATATTCCTACTTCGAGGGATCCAGCTTCAAAATTTCAGACCGAATCATCCTGTATGTAAAGTTTATATCGGTTAGTAGGTAGGATAAGAACAACATATCTTGCGGTATGCAATAAAGTTTGCTATAACGGAAGGTTGCAAAAACGAATCGTTATGTTAGAGCATAATAAAAAGAGCTTAATTTGCTATAAAATAGCATAGTTTCCTTACCTCGCTAATGATATTATTTATATGATAATGATTTATATGATATTCATATGCTTGTAATCCTTGTCTAACCAATAAATAATTATTAAAGAGTTGGAGCGATTGCGGTTAATATCGCATATAATAATTTGTTTCGCATTAACTCATAACGGAACAAAAAATTGATTTAATATATCTCTCAACAAGTGGAAATAAAAAATTTTTATTACGTTCGTATCATCGATTTTTATCTACATATAACTATCATTAAAATGGAACATTGTTAATCTACATATTTAGTGTCATCGTTGTTTGACTAATTTGAAGCCATCTTATTTCCTGTACTTTAGAAGAAAACACAACAATTACAAATAGATGCAAAATATCTTCATTTTAATCAAGTTTTTTTTTAAATTTTTATCTATATGTGTTTATTATATCAACTTTAATAAATGTCGGTATAAAATACAGGTATAAAATATAAATATAAAAAACTACGAGCGTAAAGGCGATTATATTAAATCTTCACTGAAAAAAGTTGTTTTTAAATTTTTCCGGAAATAGCCGAATTGTTATTTGGCTCTTTTTAGTCGGAATTGGCAATCGGATGTCGGTATATTTTCAGCAAAAATCTCGTTTATTTAACGCTAAAAAATAATCGCAAGAGGCTCTCAGCGATGTTCGAGAAAAGAGAGACAGAGAGAGAGACAGAAGGAGAGAAGTACCCTGAGGGAAGAAGGCAGAAACCTCGGCATGCGAAGGTCGATGTGCCGTTGTCTCGCACCAGGAAATCCTGGTCTCTTCGGTCTTTTCTCCCCTCCCCCTCTGTTCCTCTTTAAACTGCGAATGGCCTTATACTCAGGTGCTCCTTTCAGTTAGTGATTTTTGCTCGACTAATTAAAACAGCTACTTGAAGCTCGGTATCAAAGAATAAATTCGAGGATCTTCCTTCGCGTCTAAATTTATATCGCGTCTACTTAATATTATTTCTGTGTGTTTTTCAGAGACTTTGCCCCGAAATTTTTGTAAAAACGTCTAGAAGATAGATGTCTTGATCTTTAAATAACTTTAGATTGTTAAATCTTGGAAAAATTTCCCAGAGAGACTTAAAAAAAATGACCCATGAATATGCAAGTTTATGAGAGCGATTTAAAAAATCGAAGATTTAAGAAATAAAATATTTCGAATTTTTGCGATCTCACTCGAGATTAATTTAACGTATCGAGGTACATTTCCAAGAAATAATGAAAGCGATAATATTATGCGAGACACTTTCCTTTCTCTTTCTTTCATTTAGATAAAAAGAAAAATTAATTTTCTTCTTAATAAGAAAACACAGAATCTTGCGATTCGTTTTATGTATTTGTCGCGTTTTTTTTAGCGATAAGAAAGGAGTCGATTGCTTCGCGATTGAATCACGATAGAAGCAAAGTATTGCAACTCTGTTCGCGATTTCCGGTGCGCGATTGAAGGACGGAAACGCGTTCGATCGCGACGAGGAGACGTCGAGATTTCCGCATCGTCTATTTTTACATCACATTACGATGTGATGGTCGTTTAAGAAAACGTGTAAGGAAATCTTTTAAAAACTTGAAGCGTTTCTTTTCTTTGCTAGTTTTCCTTCATTGATCCTTTTCCTTTCTTCCTTATAATAATTATCAATATAAATGAATGGATTAAATAAATTAGTAGAGCAAACAACGAAGAAAGAGAGAGATTTTACATCTTTATATCTTTCTTTCTTTTTTTCATTCTCCTCTTTCCTTTTTATATTTCTTTTGTACAAGATTTTCTTCTTTCTTTCCCTCTTCTTATACTTCATTCTGTTATTTCCTCTTTTCATTTTTTTTGATCTAATAAACTTCATGATGTAAGGATTGCAATGACCTTGATTGCACATCTTGTTTACGATCGATCTTGCCGTCTTTATGACCGGATTTCCCGACGCGAAAAAGCTCTCAGCAAATCATCGCAAATGTGTTTACATTTCGTTGCAAAGCATCGCGTGTCGGGTAGCTTGGAAACGAGCGCGATAATCATTCATGTATAGAGATAGTGTTGTAATTCAATAGTGATTGTCACTCGTCACATTTAATTCAGATGGGCCCGCGTGTTAGCTCGTAAACATTATTAAGAGTGGACCTTTATTTTTCCGGAGGGCATAAATTTCCCACGTGATAACTGAAAAAATAAGTGTTGGAATATTTAAGTGCCCTAAAATGTATCGTTATACGAGAACGTCATTTTATCAGCTGTATTAATGTCTCATCTCAAGATATATAAAGGTAGAAGTATTAAAACTAACAATGCAAGCACTTAATAATTTAATTATTATTGCGTGGTAATATCTTTCTCAATCTAAAAATTACACGTACAGCTACGAGAGGTAACTAGAATGTAGAGTCCCAATGTTTCCGAGAAGTGGATATGTAAATTGGAGATTTCATTGACATTGTAAATAACGCTATTTAAACGACACTCACATACATACACACATATTCACGACTTATTTCTCGTGTCATTAAATTAGCAGCTTTTTCCTGCATTCCTGCGATATGACGCGATTTTAAATCGTGCTAATCGCGATTGAAATGCGTAAGAACGTTACGTGACATTCCGAAACATAATCTGCCTATAAAATGTCATTAACTGGCAACGTTAAGACGGTTTCGAAAAGTACGGTCAATGGGGAATATAAAAAAAATGAAAACCTTTTCCATCGTGGGCGACTATTTAATTTCCTTGCGTCAAACGCAACGCGTTTCATAGGGACCGTAATCAGCTGATGGGATGGTAAAGGATCCGCGTGATTAGACTTTGTCTATCTCGTCGCGTCTCCTTCTGCATCGTCGTCGTCGTCTCCTTAATGTCAGAGGTTCGTTATGCCTTATTCATATCGGCCTGTTGGCAAGCATACGACTGGTTGCGTAACACGCGCATGAAGAAACGACATGTGCGATTTGTTAAGATTAATACGCATACGCACGTACGTATATACGTATATTCGTCCCGCAATATCGCCCAGCCATCATTGTTGCGCGATTCGAGACGAATGATGATCTGACGATGACTCCGACTCTTCCGATGCATGCGCTCCGAAATCTTGGGCTGCGCGCGCGATAAAAGCGAAGCACACTGGGGGAAAATTAAATGTATACAAAATAAACTAATTTACATGTAAAAGAAAATTTGCAAACGTATACAAACAGTGCGCACGTATTTATGGACACGGTCGAGTATTAATAAATCAATTTAATAAATATACTTGTTCTCTTTATATTTGTTTACAAGTTATTTATCGAGGGTGCTTTTCTTATCGATATAGAGTGTGTTTATCGGTATCTAACTTATATTTATAACTGCGCATTAAAGTCACTCTTCACTTTTTCTAAACGACACAAAGATCCATACAAAGGGAGGAAAGAATCTAAATAAAGCATTAATGGACTCGATTGCGGGCGCAGAATTCCGAAGGAACGAATAAATGCCGCGATGATGAGTCGATGATGAGTCGATCGTGCTCGCAAGAAGTCACGGCCTGGAAAGTGTAATCACCTCGGCCGACCATCATCGTTTGACGGCTCCTCGACGGATCGAAAAGGAAGTAGGTAAGTACGCGCATCCGCGCAGCAAAACACATCCGCAGACACGCAAACAGACACGCAACGGATTTAACGGCGTTTCGCAACGTCGTCGGGAGGAAAAGAAGCGCATGAATAGCGAGGGTAATTCGCAAGGCGAGCTTTAATTCGCCTCGCCAACGACGATTAATGTGCATTAATAATACGATGCTGCGCGATAACGATCGCTCTCGCCGATTACGCGATTGATCGTTATTCCTTAGAACGACCTGTATGCATATCGATAATTTAGCGCG